TATGTGTGTTTTGCCTGCATGTAAATGCCACCACATGCATGCAATGCCTGTAGAGAGCAGAAGAGGGATTGGATCACCTGGAACTGGAGTTACAGATGTTTGTTGGCCACCATGTAGGTGATGGGAAGTGAACCAAGTCCTCTGCAAGAGCAGCCAGTACTGTTAACTGCTGATCCATCTCTCCAGCCCCCAGGGTGGATGGATCTTTGCAGTTAAGGAAGGCAGTAACTGGAGTGGCTGTTCATGAAAGCCATTCTAGATTGAAAGGGAGAGGGGATGGATCACCACCTTCACCAAGGACTGTGGGGAGAGGGGAATGACAGGGGGGTGAAATTGGGGAGGATGACATGTGCAGGTTGTGGCAAGGCAGTGTCTGTGACGGCTGCAGCTTAGCACAGTGAACACACATCTTCCCCAGCAGCTCCCAGGGTAGGGTGGGCCCAGAGATGATAGGGTTTTTTGTGTGGTGTGTACATGTAACCGTGGAGGCGAGAGATAAGCCGTTGCTCGTCTTCCTCTATTGATCTCATTTATTTTTGAGACAGGGTTTCCCTACAGGCCCAGCTGGTTTGGTATTAGTCATAAAGACCATGCTGGCCTCCATCTCTGAGGCTCGGCCTACCTCTGCCTACCTTTGCCTCAGTGTTGAAATTAAAAGTGTGCACAGCCATCATGCCTGGCTTTGACTTCATTTTTTTTGAGACAGGGTGAAGAGGCTGTCGGATCCCCTGGAACTGGAGTTACAGACAGATGTTAGCTGCTATGTGGGTGCTGGGATTTGAACCTGGATCTTCCGCAAGAACAGTATTCTTAACCGCTGTGCTATCACTACAGCCCCAACTCCATACTTTTTTTGTTCTATTTTTTGGGGGGCGGGTTGAGACAGGGTCTTCCTGTAGCCCTGGCTGGCTGGAACTCATTATGTAGACCAGGTCACCATGCCTGGCATAATTCCACACTTCTAATCTTCTAACCTCAACAATCTGAGAAGGTCCTTTAAGCTTTTGGTGACCTTGATTCAGATCAAATTTGGATTCCTGGCTTTGATGCAGAAAAGAATTTCAGGACTAGTTGGGTTTTTGTTTTGGCTTTTGTTCTTTTTGAGACAGGGTCTCCCTGTAGCCCCAGCTGTCCTGGAACTCACTATGTAGACCAGGCTGGCCTTGAACTCACAGAGATCCGCCTGCCTCTGCCTCCCAAGTGCTGGGATTAAAGGTGTGCGTCACCACGCCCGGCTACTTTTTAATTTTTATTTTATGTGTATGTGTGTTTTGCCTGCATGTACGTAAGTGCTCTATGTACATACAATATTCACAAAGGCCAGAAGAGGGTGTCAGATCCCCTGGAAGTGGAGTTGTAGACGGTTGTTAGCTCACATGTGGGTGCTGAGTACTGAACCCTTGTCCTCTGCAAGAGCAGCCAGTGCTCTTAATTGTTGAGCCAATTCTCCAGCCCTCATTGTTTATAAAATTTTTGATGTAGGGTCTTGCTGTGTAGTTCTAACTGGCTTTAAACTTGCTATGTGTCCCAGACTGGCCTTGAACTTGCAAAGATCCTGCCTCAGTTTCCTGAGCGTTGAGATTATAAGCTTGCACCACCATACCTGTCTGTTAAAAAGTTGGTTTTGCTAGGCATGGTGGTTCACACCTTTAGTCCCAGCACTTGGGAGGCAGAGGCAGACAGAGCTCTGTGAGTTCCAAGCCAGCCTGGACTCCATAGTGAGTCCAGGCCAGCAGTGGCTACAGGGAGACCCTGTCTCAAAAAGAAAAATAACTAACTAACTAAATAAATTTGCAATTTAAAGATATTTATAATGGAGGTTGGAGAGATGGCTCAGCGGTTAAGAGCACTGACTGCTCTTGCAGAGGACCCGGGTTCGACTCCCAGCACCCACATGGCAGCTACATTAACTCCAGTTCCAGGGGAATCCAAAGCCCTCTTCTGACCTCCAAGGCATTGCATGACGTGGTATACTCACATGCATGCAGGCAATACACTCATATATAAAACATAAATTAAAAAAAAGATATTTATAATGAAGGAAGCATTCAGTATTGTAATGACGATAGTGAACACACAAACCTACACCTGTGACAAATTACACAGAACAAAAAAAAAAAAACACATAGTT